AGATTTGCCTTTAACAATCCATGTTGGGGGTCTCTAATTACCTCGTGTTCCTCTCAGTAGAGATTTATTCTGTCCCGGATTACGGTCTCCAGTAGTTTCCTATTACCGAGGTTAGGCTGACTGGCCTGTAATTTCCGGGTTTGTCTTTCTGCCCCTTTTTGTAGAGTGGGTAACATTAGCCACTCTCCAGTCTCTTGGCACCACTCCTGTGTCCAATGACGATTGAAATATAATGGCCAAAGTCTCCGCTACTTGAACCCTTATCTTCCACAGCAACCTTGACTGCGTATTATGTGGGTGAAACGCGGCAGCCAATTACGCACAGCAGTGAGTGTCCCACAAACAGTCATTGATTGAAGTGACCATTTTTTTTTGTTTTGGAGGGATTATTATCAGTCGTGTGGAGTTAGGAAACTTGCCCAAGGTTTCGCCCTGACCTGCCTGGAATTGAACCCAGGTGTCTCGCTTGCAAAGCGAGTGCTCTACACCGTGACTGTGTATTTTTGTTGGCAAAACTCGGCAGCCAAAGACACCCGGCCGGTCACGGTGACGGGTTCCTGTGTGTCAGACACCCGGCCGGTCACGGTGACGGTTTTCCGTGTGTGTCAGATCCCGGCTGGTCACGGTGACGGGTTTCGTGTGTGTCAGACACCGGCGGTCACGGTGACGGTTTCTGTGTGTGTCAGACACCCGGCTGGTCACGGTGACGGGTTTCTGTGTGTGTCAGACACCCGGCTGGTCACGGTGACGGGTTTCTGTGTGTGTCAGACACCCGGCTGGTCACGGTGACGGGTTTCTGTGTGTGTCAGACACCCGGCTGGTCACGGTGACGGGTTTCTGTGTGTGTCAGACACCCGGCTGGTCACGGTGACGGGTTTCTGTGTGTGTCAGACACCCGGCTGGTCACGGTGACGGGTTTCTGTGTGTGTCAGACACCCGGCTGGTCACGGTGACGGGTTTCTGTGTGTGTCAGACACCCAGCTGAGCAAAACAAATAGCTTTACCGTGTGGATGTGTTGAGGTCCGAGTTGATGCCAGCGATTGACTGTGTGGAGCAGCCGAGGTGGAGGAGTGGGGAGGTGAGGCTGGCACACACCAATATACACACAACACACATGACCACGGCTCCTCTCATTGTGATCTTTAATCTCCTCATAATGGCTCCCCCGACAATGGTGCCAATCACGATCCCAGGGATGGTCACTCCACCTTGTCACCAACACACATGAGCACACGTCATAACATGTCATCACATGCCATAACAACAACAACAACAAGATTACATCTGTTTAGCGCCTTTCATGTCGGGAGGACGTCCCAAGGCGCTGAAATATTATGAGTGTCCACTCATAAAACGGCATTACACACCATCACACATTATAACACGCCATCACATGCCAATGCACCTCATCACATCCGACAGTCATTATTACCAGTTCATACGCAACATTGCATGCTGAGTCATGCTATCGTACACCAGCACATGCCATTACATGCCAACAAACCAATACGTATTGTATTGTATCAACACGCCAGAACACAAATCACACACCAATAGACAGTGCACAAGCACCACCAACACACAGAACACACACATAAACACACAAACACTCGCATGCCAACATCCACACACCAACACACAAACCAACATCCACAGAAACATCAACACAAACACACGCACTCACCAAAATACATACACCCGGGTACACACCATCATAGGCACAAATACAAACACCCATCCATCACATTCAAACACACATTACACACACACACACACACTTTACACACACACACACACACACGTCCAAATGCTGAGGAGCCTACCCTGTGAAAAGGGCGCTATATAAATGCAAGTTATTCTTGTTTATAGCGCTGGTTTGGTTATAAGGCCCCATTCACTTCACAGTGAGACCTCCCCTCCCCTCCCCCTCCATCCCTCCCTGTGTGAAGGGCCAGTTCTGGTTGCTATTAGAGTGTCCACTGTGCGCCCGCACTCACTGACCCAGCATTAAGTTGGCGAAGGAGGCTGTCAGCGTGAACTGCTTCTCCAGGAACTTGCCCATGAAGACGGCGAGGCCCGAGATCACGGCGGACATGCTGACCTGCCCCAACACCACCAGCAGGTACACAGGGTTCCTCAGGGTCCGCCACAGGATGAAGGGAAATTCTGAAAACAGGAGAGAGACAATCAGGGGGAAAACTTCGATTGGAGAATTGCACAGAATGTCACAAGATCATAAATTACCCAAATGAGCGATGGGTTTCCGTGTGTGTCAGACACCCGGCCGGTCACGGTGACGGGTGTCCGTGTGTGTCAGACACACGGCCGGTCATGGTGACGGGTGTCCGTGTGTGTCAGACACCCGGCTGGTCACGGTGACGGGTTTCCGTGCGTGTCAAACATCCGGCCGGTCACGGTGACGGGTTTCCGTGTGTGTCAGACACCCGGCCGGTCACGGTGATGGGTTTCCGTGTGTGACAGACACCCGGCTGGTCACGGTGACGGGTTTCCGTGTGTGTCAGACACCCGGCTGGTCACGGTGATGGGTTTCTGTGCGTGTCAAACACCCGGCTGGTCACGGTGACGGGTTTCTGTGCGTGTCAAACACCCGGCTGGTCACGGTGACGGGTTTCTGTGCGTGTCAAACACCACACTGCTAAAGACTGCCAAGAAAAATTCTTATGAAATATTTGTCAAGTTATGAATAGGATAGAAATGTAATTATTCCACTTTGTTACAGAAACAGAAACAAATGTCGGTCGGTCGGTCACCGGGGTTTGACGTAGGAAAGCCTGTAGATTGATGTTGTATCATCATTGTATCACTGGGCCTGACGTGTATCGACATGCAAGAGGAATGTTTACATCAGTGATTCTCACGCTGTCTCTGGATGAGAACACTTGATGTCCTTTTGCTTTGTGGGCAAAATCTGAGGCAAGTTACAGCTCGCTGGCAACCGAGCATCGACATTGAGACACCTTGTGTGGTAGCCTCGGTATTCACCCACCCAGAGGTGAAAGGGTCAGGTGTTCACCCGCCATTACCCAGAGAACATAAGAACGTAAGAATTTGCTGGTGAAAGAAAACCAAGGTCCATCTGGTTCACCTTCCACCATCCTAACGAGAATGATACCAGGAATGGGGAACCTTAGCTATGAGGACAGACTGGAGAAGTTAGGACTTTTCCCATTAGAGCAGAGAAGGTTACGTGGGGACCTGATAGAGGTCTTCAAGATCATGAAAGGTTTCGACAGGCGAGATAGGGAGAAGCTGTTTCCGCTGGTAGGTGTGTCTGTGACCCGTGGTCACAGTCTGAAGATATCTACCAAAAGAAGCCGAGGGAAGGTTAGAAGAAATGTTTTCACTCAGCGAGTTGTTGGGATTGGAATGATCCGCCCGAAAGGGTAGTGAAGTCCGATTTGATAACAGCTTTTAAGAGAGAACTGGACAGGTATCGGGGGAAGACGGGTTTGTGGGGTTATGGGGAGAAAGCTGGTGATTGGGGTTAGTGAAAGTGACGCTCTGTCAAAGAGCCGCACAGACTCGATGGGCCGAATGGCCTCCTGTGCCGTAACATTCTATGAATCTATGAATCTATGAATCTAATAATAATCCTCCAAAACCAAAAACAATAAATAAATTGGTCATTTTCAATCTACGACTGTTTGTGGGACATTGCTGTGCGCAATTGGCTGCCGCGTTCGCCCACAAATATACAGTCAATTCACTTTACAGTGTGTTCTGTGAAGCGCTTTGGGACGTCCTCTCGACGTGAAAAGCGCTATATCAAATGCAAGGATTATTATTATTATTATTATGAATCTATGAATCTATGAATCTTGGCCATTGCTTGACATGTCCTGTCCCAACCTATTTATTGTGCCCCCAGATATTATTTTCTATAAGAACATAAGAATTTGCAAGGTCAAAAGATTAGGTCGAAGTGTCAGATAATCTATGCCAACTCCCTGCTTGTCAGACTTCCTAACTCTTTCCTCCATGAACTGCAGATCATCCAGAACTCTGCAGCCTGTGTCCTCTCCTGCTCCAGGCTCCGTGACCCATCACCCCCATCCTCATCCCCACCAGACTCCCCGACCCCATCACCCCCATCCTCACCCCTACCAGGCTCCCCAACTCCATCAGCCCCATCCTCACCCCCACCAGGCTCCCCGACCCCATCACCCCCATCCTCACCCCCACCAGGCTCCCCAACCCCATCACCCCCATCCTCACCACCACTAGGCTCCCCGACCCCATCACCCCCATCCTCACCCCCCAGGCTCCCCAACTCCATCACCCCCATCCTCACCCCCACCAGGCTCCCCGACCCCATCACCCCATCCTCACCCCACCAGGCTCCCTGACCAATCACCCCATTCTCACCCCCACCAAGCTCCCGACCCCATCACCCCCACCAGGCTCTGTGACCCCATCACCCCCATTCTCGCCCGACTCCACTGGCTTTCCATTACATAGAGGATACAGTTCAAGTTCCTGGTCCTCACCTTCAAAGCACTCCTTGGCCTCACTCCCCCCGACTTCTGTGACCTGCTATAACTGTACCATCCTGCCCGCTCCCTCCGATCAGCAGGCACAAGGCTGCTCCACGTCACCCGCCTCGCCTGCCCCACCATCGGCGGTCGGGTCTTCAGCCTTTCTGCCCCCACCCTCTGGAACTCTATCCAGGAACCCCTCCTCCTGCCCACTCCCTTGTCTCTTTCAATGTCCTCCTCCTGCCCACTCCCTTGTCTCTTCACACAGAGACACACAGAGATACAGAGAGACACAGACAGAGACAGACAGTGACACAGAGAGAGACAGAGACACAGAGAGAGACAGAGACGCAGAGAGACACAGAGATAGAGAGAGAGACACAGACAGAGACAGACAGTGACACAGAGAGAGACGCAGAGAGAGATAGAGACACAGAGAGACATACACACAGAGAGGAGCGCCTCACCGAGGTACATGGGCGAGTTCTGTTCGCTGGCAAAGTCATCTATGTAGGATATTCCAAAGGGTTGGATGGGAACGCTGCCGATTCCCAGCAGGAGCTGTCCCAGCACCAGCAGATATAACATTCTCTGCTCACTCGTCCTAGTGTCCGCACCACATTTCCCACTCCTCAGCAGACGATACGCACTGCTGTCCTGGCAGATATCATTGGCCATCGTCATGTTACCTGTTACCAGCACAAACAACAAAATCATTCACTGTTGATTATATGACTGATGGTATTCATTTATGTTCTCATTACCTGTCACCGTGACCGGCCGGGTGTCTGTCACACACAGAAACCCGTCACCGTGACCGGCCGGGTGTCTGTCACACACGGAAACCCGTCACCGTGACCCGCCGGGTGTCTGTCACACACAGAAACCCGTCACCGTGACCGGCCGGGTGTCTGTCACACACGGAAACCCGTCACCGTGACCGGTCGGGTGTCTGTCACACACGGAAACCCGTCACCGTGACCGGCCGGGTGTCTGTCACACACGGAAACCCGTCACCGTGACCGGCCGGGTGTCTGTCACACACGGAAACCCGTCACCGTGACCGGCCGGGTGTCTGTCACACACGGAAACCCGTCACCGTGACCGGCCGCGTGTCTGACACACACGGAAACCCGTCACCGTCACCGGCCGCGTGTCTGACACACACGGAAACCCGTCACCGTGACCGACCGGGTGTCTGTCACACATGGAAACCCGTCACCGTGACCGGCCGGGTGTCTGACACACACGGAAACCCGTCACCGTGACCGGCCGGGTGTCTGACATGAAAAGCACTGTATCAAACACAAGGATTAAAATTATTCTCCTTTGCGCTTCTCCCCCTCCCCCTGACCCCCCTACCCGCGCAGCCCGCTTCACACAGCCAGCCACCGGGAATGGAAAGGAAACATGGGAGTCCTAGAGCTCAGTGGTTAGAGCACTTGCCTCGCAAGCGTAAGACCTGGGTTCGATTCCTAGGCAAGTTTCCTTACTCCATGTGGCTCAGTTTACCTCGCAGTAAATAGAAACCCGGTTCTTAGTTGACTTATGGATGGATTTACAGGATAAAAATCCCTCCCACCCAAAAAAAAAAAATAATAATTTAGCCACTCATTCAAAGCCTGTTTGCGGGACCCGGCTGTGTACCATTGGGGGTCATGTTTCAGATACAAATATACAATATCTGCTGTGAAGCGCTTTGAGACATCGCGATGACCTGATAAAGCACAATATCAAATAGAAGGATTGTTACTGTAACAGCGCCAGGAACTCACCGCCGGTCACTGTCTGGTCGTACTGGTAACTGTCCATGAGGAAATGGGGCATGGCCATCAGGAAGGTCGCCAAGCACACCAGGAGCCCCCCGCAGCCAATCAGCCGAGGGCGATGGACACAGCTCCCAAAGTAACTCACAAAGACAATAAACACCGTGTTGCCAATCTATAACATTATCAACAACAACATCAGCATCATCAGCGTCAACATCATCATCATTATCATCATCATCATCAACAACATCATCATCATCATCATCATCAACATCATCATCATCAACATCATCATCAACATCATCATCAACATCATCATCATCAATATCATCATCAACATCATCATCATCATCAATATCATCATCAATATCTTCAACATCATCATCATCATCAACATCATCATCACCAACATCATCAACACCGCATTCATCATCAATATCATCATCATCATCATCAACATCATCAACATCATCATCAATATCATCATCATCAACATCATCATCATCATCAACATCATCATCATCAACATCATCATCAACATCATCATCATCAACATCATCATCATCAACATCATCATCAACATCATCATCATCAACATCATCATCACCATCATCATCAACATCATCAACATCATCATCATCATCATCAACATCATCATCATCATCAACATCATAATCATCAACATCATCAACATCATCATCATCAACATTATCAACAACATCATCATCATTATCAACAACATCATCATCATCAACATCATCAATTTCGTTATCAACATCAACAATAAACATATCTCATTAGTAATTATCTTTACATTTGATAGAGCGCATTTCAGTGGTCAGGCAGACTCACGTGCTCAGAGTAAAAATACTAATGTGTAGTGACTGTATTTGTAGGAGACCCAAAGCTGCTAATTTGCCCACAAGCAACATCCCCTGAAACCGCCTCAAATTGAATGACTGACTCTTTCTGGGAAAATGTTGTGCAGGACACCAGAAGATACCTCCCTCCTTCGACAAACTGAGGGATGTTTAACGTCCGACTGAACAGGGCACATTCAACTGAAGGATCTCTCTCTCTCTCCCTCTTTCTCTCTCCCCCCCCACCCCAGCGCTGCGCTGTAAAGTCAGCTTAGACTTTGAGCTCAGAGTCCCCAGCATGAGGTTCACACCCACGGTCTCTTGACCTGGGTGTGGGAACATGAGCTCAGAGTTGTGTCTGCTACTGTCAAACGCTCTGGGACTCTGCCCTGCGTGAGGAGCTGGAGTGCATTGTTGTTGGCGGAAGCCTGAGCTGCTGAGACATGAGATGTGTCCCTTGTGTCTGTTGTATAATAATAATAATCTTCACATTTGATACAGCGCCTTGTTATGTCATTGAGACGTCTCAAACCGCTTCACGGGACATAATGTAAAGTGGAGTGACTGTGTATTTGTGATGGAAATAGTCCAACCTCATTCAGTGAGGACACCATCCCTGAGGTCTGGCTGGTGAGACCAAAACGCTTCTCCACAGTGGAAATGGTGCTTTTGAGATATCCCGAAACCATGAGCTGCGAGAGCTGTAGAAAACCATGGCACAGCACAAAAAACTGTGGGCAGAGAGAGAGACAGAGAGAGCGAGAGAGGGAGGTCAGGGCAATTCACACAGAGGGTAAGGAAAAAGACAACAACAACAACACAACAACAAATCACAACAACAACTTATATTTTTACACAGCGCCCCTCACGCAGGGCAGCATCCCAGAGTGTCTGACTGGCGGAGCAGGACACCAAGCCGGGGGAGGTGGGAGGTGACAAATGCATGGACGAGTATTTTGGCCGTGTGTGGGATAACATAACGTAACATGTAGGAGTAGGAGTAGGCCATTCGGCCCTTCGAACCTGCCCCGCCATTCAATCATGGCTGATCTTCTAATCTAACTCCAGCTAATAACCTGACACGGCCTTATCCCCATATCCCTTAGTACCTTTTGCAACAAGAAACATATCTATCTCAGTCTTTGGGGTAGTGAGTTCCATACATTCACCGCCCTTTGAGTGAAGAAGTTCTTCCTCAACTCAGTGTGAAAGGGCTGCCTCTGATTTTAAGGTTGTGACCCCTTGGTTTTAGTTTCTCCAACCAGGGGAAACAATCTCCCACTATCTACTCTGTCGCGCCCTTTGATGATCTTATAGGTTTCTATAAGATCCCCTCTAATTCTTCTATATTCTAGAGAATATAGGCCCAAATTAGTCAGCCATTCCTCATAACTCAACCCCTTCATCCCTGGTACTAACATAGTAAATCTACGCTGCACCCCCTCCAAGGCAAGTACATCCTTTTAAATAAGAAGACCAAACTGGACACACTATTCCAGGTGTGGTCTCACCGGGGCCCTATACCGTTGCAGCAAGACTTCCCTACTCTTATACTCTAATCCTTTCATAATGAATGCTAACATACCGTTCGCCTTCCTAATTGCTGCTGCACCTGCAGACTAACTTTCTGTGATTGGTGTACAAGGACACCCGAGTCCCTCTGGACGCTAACACATTCCAATCTCTCCCCTTCTAAAAAATAACCCGCTCTCCTGTTTTTGCTCCCTAGGTGGATGACTTTGCACTTCCCTACATTATACTTCATCTGCCACCTACCTGCCCAACCACCTAACCTATCTATGTCGCGCTGCATTTTTTTAATGTCGTCCTCTGTGTTGACACTTCCTCTTAGTTTTGTGTCATCCGCGAATTTAGATATATTAACTTCAATGTCCTCATCTAGATCGTTGATGTAGATGGTAAATAGCTGAGGCCCAAGGACTGATCCTTGTGGCACTCCACTAGTCACATCCCACCAATCCGAAAAAGACCCGTTTATCCCTACACTTTGTTTCCTACCTGTTAACCGTTCCCCAATCCACGTTAATATGCTCCCCCCAATTCTATGGGCCCTTATCTTTTGGATTAACCTTTTATGCAACACCTTATCGAATGCCTTCTGGAAGTCCAAATAGACCACATCCACTGATTCACCCTTATCAAGTTTACTGGAAATATCCTCAAAAACTCTATGAGATTTGTCAAACATGACTTCCCTTTTGTAAAGCCATGTTGACTTGGCCTAATTATATTGTGCCCTAAATACCGCACTACCACATCCTTAATCAATGATTCTCAAACTTTTCCTATCGCTGATGTGAGACTAATTGGCCTATGATCCCCATCTTTTCCTTTTCACCCTTTATAAATAGTGGTGTGACATTTGCGATCTTCCAATCCATGGGGACTGTTCCAGAATCCAAGGAATTTGGGAAGATCAGACACAAGGCCTCCACTATCTCATAAGCTCCTCTTTTAAAACCCTGGGATGCAAGCCATCCGGACCAGGGATTTGTCACTTTTTAGTGCTAACGGTTTCCCGAGCACCAATTCTCTACTAATGAAAATTTCCCTCAGTTGCTCCCTGTCCTTATCCCTTTGGTGCATCTCTATTGTTGGCAGACTTGTTGCGTCTTCTCGGGTGAAGACAGATGCAAAGTACCCATTTAGGGTCTCTGCCATGTCCTTGTCCTCACAAGCCTATTCCTCTTAATGTATTTGTAAAAACTTTTACAATCAGACTTAATGTTCGTCGCTCACTTACCCTCATACTCCTCTTTCTCGCTCTTAATGAGTTTTTTAGGTTTTTTTTGCTGGTTTCTAAAACTCTCCCAATCTTCAGATTTGCCGCTTTTCTTGGCAGTTTTATAAGCCTTTTCTTTTAATTTGATGCTTTCCCTAACGGCTCTAGTTAGCCACTGATGAATTGCTTTCCCTGTGGTACTCTTATTCCACAAGAGAATATGGGACAGCTGAGAATTATGCACTACATCCTTAAATATTTGCCACTGTTGGTCTACATTTTTACCTCTTAATCTTATTCTCCAGTCTATTTTACCTAAATCTTTCCTCATACCGACAAAATTAGCCCTATTTAAATTCAGAATACTTGCCTCGGATTTAACTATATCCCTCTCTAACTTAATGCAGAATTCAATCATATTGTGATCACTCTGCCCGAGAGGAGTCTTAATACCTACACCGCCAACTCGCCCTGTTTCGTTACACAGAACAAGGTCTAGGATGGCCTGGTCCCTGGTCGGTTCCTCGGAGCGCTGCTCTAGATAGTTATCTCTCATACACTCAATGAACTCTTCTTCTGACCTACTTTTGCCGATTTGGTTTTCCCAATCTATGTGGAGATTGAAATCACCCACTATTATCGCTTTACCTTTCCTACATGTGCTCCACTGATTTCCTGATTAATACCGTGTGCTATATTGTGATCACTGTTTGGGGGTCTATAAACCACTCCCATTAATATTTTCTGCCCCTTATTATTTTATATTTACACCCATATTGTCTCGACCTCCTGGTCATCGGATTTCAGATCCTTCCTCTCCACTTGTTTTATTTAATCCCTAATTAACAGGGCTCCCCCCCACCTCGTTTCCCACAGTGCCTATCTTTCCTGTGAACTGAGAACCCGGGAATATTTAACTCCCACCCTCGATCTCCTTGTAACCATGTTTCAGTGATGGCTACCAGATCGTACTCGTTTGTGTCTATCTGTGCTTTTAAATCATCAGTTTTTTTCTGAATGTTTCGCACATTCAGATGTAACATTTTTAATTTCCTACCACTTCCTCTACTCTCTGATTCCTTACCTGCTTTGCCAAAGCTTCTTACCCCTCGTTAACATATTCCTATTATCTGGCTGCTACTCTGCACTGCCATCTTTACTTTTTCTAATACTAACTTATGGTTTCTCTTACCTATATATTCCCCCCCGTTACTAGTTTAAGTTCTTATTTATCTCCCTGTTAATTCGTTTAGCTGGGACATTTGTCCCAGCCCGATTTAAATGCAGCCCTTTTCTCTGAAAAAGCTCTTTTTTCCTCCAATACTCATGCCAATGGCCCATAAAAAGAAACTCCTGAGTTCTGCACCACTCTTTAAGGTATAAGGATAAGGTACGGTCGGAGGTGGGCAATGTGACAGAGGTGGAGGAAAGTGGTCCTGGTCAGGGACGGGATGTGGATGTGGGTAGAAAGGGCAGCTGTGGATCGAACCTGATGCCCAGGTTACGCCGTATCTTACAAATTACATTTGTCCAGTGCTTTTTATGTTGGGAGGACCTCCCAAAGTGCTGGAGGTACAAATTCTCAAGTTAATGCCAACAGTGGGAAAGTAAGTGAAAATATTTTGTTTTTCAGCTGGGAGTCCGACACATTTAGAAACCCATCACTGTTGCTTATTAGTCACCTGAGAATTTCATGCCTCCCACTTTCACATGGAAATCCCAGAGATTGGAATGGAATGCTCTCTCTCTCTCTCTCTCTCTCTCTGACTCTCTCTGGAGGGACGCATCCTGTTTACCTAATTCTGGAGAGGATTAGGCACAGGTTGGCGAAAGTTGGCGAGAGCCGAGGCTTGGCAGGAGCCCAGAATGTGTGTTGGGGTAACTGCTGGAGCCTAACCAACTGAAACAATGGCTTGCCATTGCGAGCACCGCCTGGCCAGCTTTCCTGCTGCCTGGAGGGCTTTGGTTTCACAGTTAACAGGAGAGGAGGATTCTTTGCCCCAGTAACTGGTCAAAATAAGTTACTAAAAGTGCAGCTGGAGACTCCATATCACTTGTTATCCTGTTATTGTAGAAGGAGCACAGTTGGAACAGGAATGTGCGTTTCCTTCACTCATTGTCTGTAGGTCAGAAGTTTTCTTGTGATGGGAACATTGCTAACAGGTACGCAAATGTGATTCAAATTTTGGGTGCAATTCAGGGTGTTGGATTCCCGCTGCTGCTGCTGTTAATTCCATATCGGCCTGTCCACTTGGCTCCACTTGCTCTACATATCCCGCCTGGCCCACCCCACCATCGACCTTCAGCCTCTCTGCCCCCACCCTTTGGATCTCCATCCCACATTCCCTCAGCCTCGCCCCCGCCGTGGTCTCCTTCAAGACCCATCTCAAGATCCTCCTCTTCAACCGCGCTTTTGGTCACTCTCCTACCCCCACCCCTCCTGATCCCTAACCCCACTCTCCCTGCCCCCCACCCCTCCTGATCCCTACCCCCAGCTGACCATAGTAGGCTCTCTGCTCCACTGTCGGTGGTTGCTCTCTCAGCCACTACACCCCGAAACTCTGGAACACTCTTCCTCTATTTGTCCGTCTTGCCCCCTCCTTCCCCATCTCCATCCCTACCTCTCTGACCTGCTTACCCCCCTAACCCACAGCCTCCACTCGACTGGCAGCGGTCTCCTGCTTGTCCCTCGTGCCCTCTATTCCGCTACCCCCCAAATCCTGGAACTCTCTCCCTTATATCCCTGCGCGTTACCCCTTCCTTCCCCATCTTCAGATCCCGCCTGAAGGCCTTACTCTTCGACCGAATGTATGGTCACCTCCCCCCCTCTTCCCGGCTCAGCATCATGCTCCCTCACTGCCATGCGCTCTGGGACGCTGCCTGTGTAAATGCAGGTTGTTGTTATTGTGTTATAATAATAATCCTTGCATCTTGATATAGCGCTTTTCACGTCGGGAGGACGTCCCAAAGCGCTTCACAGAACACACTGTAAAGTGAATTGACTGTATATTTTGTGGGCGAACGCGGCAGCCAATTGCGCACAGCAATGTCCCACAAACAGTCGTGGATTGAAAATGACCAATTTATTATTGTTTTTGGTTTTGGAGGGATTATTATTAGGCTCTGTGTGGAGTAAGGAAACTTGCCCAAGGTCGTAGGAGGGGGGGAGATTAGTTACTGACCTTTATGCTGTGGAAGGGATTTCCTCGAGGGATTGGCAACCTCACAGAGCTCTGCCGTCTCACAGGTTCACTGACCCCCATCTTCACAGCCATTTGTCACTGATACAGCACCTGGCAGAGAGAGTGCGAGAGTGAGAGTGTATACGAGAGAGAGAGTTACAGGGTGAGAGAATGTGTGAGAGAGTATGAGACATTGTAAGAGAGGGTGTGAAAGTGAATGTGAGAGTGAGTGTTTGAGTGAGGGTAACAGAGTGAACATATTCAAGACTGAGATAGATTCCTTATAGCAAAAGGGATTAAGGGATATGGGGATAAGGCCGTGTCAGGTTATTAGCTGGAGTTAGATTAGAAGATCAGCCATGATTGAATGGCGGGGCAGGCTCGAAGGGCCGAATGGCCTCCTCCTGCTCCTACATGTTATGTTATGTTAATAGAGTGAGTGTGTGAGTGACAGACAATGAGAGGGAGACAGTGTGAGAGTGAGTGTGAAAGAGAGAGATAGAGTTTCTGTCCCTCATTGTCTATATTATCTCACTAGAGATCCCCAAATTCCGCCTGGTCCCAGGCAAATGAGCCCAGTTTGTCCTGAGCCCGGGTTTGAGTGTGGGAGCCGAGGCTGTGTTTGTTTAAACAAAACTCATTTGAGAATAAAGACAGGATTGGGGCAAGGATCCGTTTTCGTTTTGTTTTTGTCTTATGCAACTGACACCCATGGAAACCTGTGAGTGACAGAGAGAGGGAGGGAGAGAGGCAGGAAGAGGCATTCCATTGCTTGGAGCCTAACTGAGTGCCAGGGAGACACCTCCCCACCATGACCCCACACCTAGGGATCCCCACTTGGCTTAGGCAAGGAATAGACCAGAGAGCAAACAACCATGGAGTCCTGTAGTCGTAGTGATTTGAGCGCTCGCCTTGCAAGCATGAGGACCCAGGTTCAAATCCGGGGCGGGGTGGGGCAAGGCCAAACCTGAGGCAAGTTTCCCTACTCCACACACACGCCTCTGGTTACCAGCATGAAGCAGGAACCTAGTTGTTAGTTGATTGGTGGATCGCTTTCCGAGGGGTAATAATCCCTCTAAAATATAAATAATTAAATAATAATGACAATGTGGTCACTCAATCCCTGACTGTTTGTGGGACACTCACTGCTGTGCGCAATTGGCTGCTGCATTTCACCCACAAAACTCACAGTCACTACACTTTACAGAACAACAACAACAAGATTGCATTTAGAGAGTGCCTTTCACGTCGGGAGGACGTCCCAAGGCGCTGGACAGTTGGGTCGGGACCCGAGAAGGGGGATAATGGTCAGAGTGAGGGGAAGGAAGGGAGGGAGCGAGTAGGGGGTAGAGAGTCGAGAGTGGAGCTGAAGGTACAGTCGAAGAGAAAGGTCTTGAGACCGGCCTTGAAGGAGGAAAGGGAGGAAGCGGCGAAGGCACTGGGGGATGGAGTTCCAGAGCCTCGGGGCTGAGAGGCTGAAGGCCACCGATGGTAGGGCGGTTGGGGCGGGGGATGTGGAGCAGACCGGAGCCAGAGGAACGGAGGGGATGGGCAGGTAGGTAGGGGGATAGTAGGTCGGAGAGGTAGGAGGGAGCGAGTCCATGAATGGCCTTGTAGGTGAGGATGAGGATCTTGAATTCGATTCTCTGGGGGATGGGGAGCCAGTGGAGGCGAGCGAGGGCGAGGGTGAGGGCGAGGATGGGAGTGAGGGCGAGGGTGAGGGCGAGGCCAAGGGCGAGGACGAGGGCGAGGGTGAGGGTGAGGGCAAGGGTGAGGGTGAGGGCGAGGGCATGGACGAGGGCGAGGGCGAGGGTGAGGGCGAGAGTGAGGGTTAGGGCGAGGGTGGGAGTGAGGGTGAGGATGAGGGTGAGGATGAGGATGAGGGCGAGGGATGGAGTGATGTGGTCGCGGTGTCTGGTGCGGGACAGTACAGGAGCTGCAGAGTCCTGAATGACCTGCAGTGTGGAGGGAGGGCCGGGAAGGCCGACGAGGAGAGAGTTCCCATAGTCCGGTCTCGAGGTGATAAAGGTGTGGACCAGAGTTTCAGCCGCGTGAGGGGTGAGGTAGTGGCCATGTTCCGGAGGTGATGGAAGGCGGTGCCAGTTGTGGCGCGGATATGAGGGAGAAAGGACGGCTCAGGGTCAAATATCCTGTGAAGTACTTTGAGACAACAAAAACAACAACAACTTGGATTTATATAGTGCCCTCCATGCCGGACGGCGTCTCAGAGCTTCACAGTAACGGATCCCGGGACCGAGCCCGGGGGAGGGGGAGGAGCCAGCGGAGGGGAAGGAGCCAGGGGAATGGGAGGAGCCATGGGAGGGGGAGGAGCCAGGGAGGGGAAGGAGCCAGGGGAGGGGAAGGAGCCAGGGGAATGGGAGGAGCCATGGGAGGGGGAGGAGCCAGGGAGGGGGAGGAGCCAGGGGAGGGGGCGGAGCCAGGGGAGGGGGAGGGCCAGGGGAGGGGCAGGAGACAGGGGGAGGGGCAGGAGCCAGGGGGAGGGGCAGGAGCCAGGGGAGGGGGAGGAACCAGGGGAGGAGCCAGGGGAGGGGGGGGAGCCAGGGGAGGGGGAGGAGCCGGGGGAGGGGAGGAGCCAGGGAGAGGGGGAGGAGCCAGGGGTGGGGGAGGAGCTGGGGGAGGGGCAGGAGCCAGGGGAGGAGCAGGAGCCAGGGGAGGGGAGCGGCCAGGGGGAGGGGCAGGAGCCAGGGGAGGGGCAGGAGCCAGGGGGAGGGGGGAGCCAGGGGAGGGGCAGGAGCCAGAGGAGGGGGAGGGGGAGGAAGGTGACCAAAGGTGCGGTCGAAAAGAAAGGTCTTCAGCAGAGACCTGAAAATGGGAAGGGAGGGGGGTGATGAAGGGAGTGAGGAAGGGAGTTCCAGAGCCTCGGGGCATAGTGGCTGAAGGCACAGCCGCCGAGTGTGGAGCGGAGGACTCGGGGGACGAGGAGGAGGCCAGACCCGGAGGAACGAAAGTAATGGGTACTGTGCTGAGGAGAGAGAAGGTCAGAGAGGTTGGGGGGGGCAGAGGAGTGCAGGGACTTGAATACAAAGGTGAGGATCTTGAAGTGGATCCTCTCTGGGAGAGGCAGTCAGTGCAGTGTTGCCAGGACTGGGGGGATCGGGGAGAGGGGTTTGGTGCGGGTGAGAATGCGGGCGGCAGAGCTGTGGATGACCTGGATTTTATGGATGGCAGTGGAGGGGAGGCCGGCGAGGAGGGCGTTGGAGTAGTCCAGCCGAGAGGTGACAAAGACACGGACCAGGGTTTCAGCGGCTTTTGGGGAGAGATATTGGTGGAGACGGGCGATGCGTCGGAGATGGAATAAAGCGGTGCTGGTGAGGGACCGGATGAGGGGGAGGAAGGATAATTGGGGGTCGAACCTGACGCCGAGGTTGCGTACGGGTTCGGAGAGTTTTAGGGAGAGGTCGGGTAGGTGGAGGAGATGAGAGCCGAAGAGTATGGCTTCCGTCTTGTCAACGTTCAGCTGAAGGAAATTTGCGCTCATCCAACCCCTGAGGTCTGACAGAACATCAGGGGACTGGGGGTCGCAAAGAGAGGTGGAAAAATAGAGTTGGGTATCATCCACATACATGTAGAAATGTATCCCATGTCTGTGGATGACATCCCGAAGAGAGAGCCTGTAGATCAGAAAGAGGAGGGGCCAAGGATGGATCCTTGGGGTACCTCACAGGTGACCGGGTGAGAACGGGAGGAGAAGCCGTTGGTGCAGATGTACTGCTGGCGGTTTGTGAGGTAGGAATCGAACCGGGCGAGTGCAGTCCCACTGAGGTGGATGACGGAGGAAAGGTGGTGGATGGCGTGATCGACTGTGACGAACGCGGCGGAGAGGTCCAGAAGGACAAGGAGGCAGAGGGAGCCCTGGTCACAGGTAGAGAGGATGTCGTTTGTGACTTTCACAAGCGCAGTCTCTGTACTGTGGGCGGAAACTGGACTGGAGAGGTTCGAAGAGGGAGTGGGAGGAGAGGTATGCACGGAGGAATGTAGGATGGGGGTCGTGGTAGGAGCTGATGATGAGGAGGGTGAGGGGCACGGAGAGGTTGTGGTGGGTGACAAGAGGCAGGAGGATGAGGCTGCCTGGTGGATATTATTTATTTTAGTTGATAAGAAGTCCATGACCTCCTCGCACTTGGCATTTACTGTGAAGATTGAGGAGGTCTGAGGGGGCGCACAGAGGAGGTAGTGGGTGGTGGAAAAAAGGACTTTAGGGTTGTTTTTTGCCTCCAAGATGATGTTGGAGTAGGAGGATGTTTTCGTATGTGTCAAAGAACGGCAGTAGCTGTGGAGATGCTCGAGCCCCAGTTGTTGCTGTCAGGCCAGTTTCTGCCATCTGTGCTCGAGCAGCCGGGTTCGGGTTTTTAGGGAGCGGAGATGACTGTTATACCAGGGGAATTGGGTGGGGTTGGAGATGGTCCTGGATTTCAGGGGGATGAGGGAGTTGAAGGTGGAGGAGAGGCGATCATGTAGCAGCTGGACGGCTGCTTCAGGATCTCTGCGGGTGGAAGGCCAGAGGATAGGATATCGGAGGATGTGAGGGCCTTTGTGAAGGTCTTTTCCATAGGCAGTAGAGATGACATAGATGAAACCACTTTCAAGAAAGTTTTAGTTATGGTCTGGAATTCACTGCCTGAAAGGGGTGGAAACAGATTCCATAACAACTTTCAAAAGGGATTTGAATATTTACTTAAAAAGAAGAATTTGCGGAGCTGTGGGGTAAGAGCAGGGGTGGACTAGTTGGGGTAAGAGCGGGGGAGTGAGTGGGATAGTTAATAGCTCTTCCAAAGAGCTGGCACAGGCAAGATGGGCTGAATGACCTCCTTCTGTGCTGTAATATTCTGTGATTCTATGAATTAAACCAGTGTCAACAAACAACAGCGGAGCAAGTCAGGACAAGAGGGAGAAATATGTTTGGCTCGCAGTGAGCCCCCGGGAGGTGGTGGTAGGGGTGGGAATCAATTAGTGTCTCTTTGGGTCACTTCTCCGAGTGTGTAAATGAGCGACACTCACCATCTGTCAACGGAGATTTTCTGACTCCACTTGGTTTCACTTCCCCAATTTCCTAGCTTCAAAGGTTAATACTTAGGGCAAACCTCCAGCTT